CAGCTAACATCATACTCAATGGTGAAAAACTGAGAGCTTTCCCTTTAATGTCAGTAACAAGACAAGGATGTCCACTCTCACCACTCTTATTCAGCGAAGTACTAGAAGTCCTACCTGCCGCAATCAGACAAGAAAAAGAAATACATGACATCTAAATTAGTAAGGAAAAAGTAAAACTTTCACTCTTTGCAGATGACATGATATATATAGAAAACCCTAAAGACTCCACCAAAAAAACTACTAGAAGTGATAAATGAATTCGGTAAAGTTGTAGATACAAATTCAATATACGGAAATCTGTTGCATTTCTATATAACAATAAAGAAGTAGCAGAAAGAGAAATTAAGAAAACAAGCTCATTTATAACTGTACCAAAAATAATGAAATACCATAATCGAAGAGGTGAAAGACCTCTACTCTGAAAACTATAAAACACTGATAAAAGAAATTGAAGATGACACAATGGAACAGATGGAAAGCTATTCCATGCTCACAGATTAGAAAAACCAATATTGTCAAAATGTCCATACTACACAAAGCAATCTACAGATGTGATGCAATCTCTATCAGAATACCAACATTTTCACAGACCTACAACAAATAATCCTATAATTTGTATAGCATCTCCAAAGACCCCAAATAGCCAAAGAAATCCCGAGAAAGAAGAACAAAGCTGACATATCACAATCCCAGATTTTAAGATATACTACATAGCGGTAGTAATCAAAAGTAAAGCATGGTATGGCATAAAAATAAACAATTAGATCAATGGAACAGAATAGAGAGCCCAGAAATAAAACCATGATTATATGGCCAATTAATTTGTGACAAAGGAGATAAGAACATACAATGGGGAAAAGACAGTCCTGTCAACAAATAATGCTGGGAAAACTGCACAGCTATATACAGAAGTATGAAACTGGACCACTTTCTTATCCATACATGAAAATAAACTGAAAATAGATTAAAGACCTAAATATGAGACCTGAAACTATAAAACTCCTAGAAGAAATCATAGTAATTTCTTTGCCTTCAGCTACAGAAACATTTTTCTAGATATGTGTCTTCAGGCCATGAAACAAAAGCAAAATTAAACTATTGGGACTACATCAAAATGAAAAGCTTTTACATACTGAAGGAAACCATCAATAAAATGGCAAGGCAACCTACTGAATGGGAGAAGATATTTGCAAATAATATAACTGGTAAGGGGTTAATATTCAAAATATATAGAAGACATATACATACAATACCAAAAAAACAAATAATCTGATTTAAAAATAGGCAGAGGACCAGGGAATAGAATTTTTCCAAAGAAGATCGATCAACAGACACATGAAAAGATGCTAAACATCACTAATCATCAAGGAAATGCTAATCAAAATCACAATAAGAAAAAAAAAATCACAATGAGGTATCACCTTACACCCATCAAAATAGCTAGAACCAAAAAGACAAGGGATAACAAGTGTTGAGGAGGATATAGAGAAAAAGGAACCCCTGCATACTACTGGTAGGAATGTAAACTGGTGCAACCACTGTGGAAAACAGTATGGAAGTTCCTTAAAAAATTAAAAATACAATTACCATATGATCCAGTAATTCCACTACTGGGTATTCACCCAAAGGAAAAGACATATGCATCCCTGTGTTTATTGCAGCATTATTTACAATAGCCAAGATCTGGAATCTACCCAGTTGTCTGTCCACAAATGAATGGGTAAATAAAAAGGGGTAAATATACACAAAGGACTATTACTTGGCCATAAAGAAGGCTGAGATCTTGCCATTTGCAACATGGGTAGACCTAGAGAATATAACGCTAAGCAAAACAAGTCAGACTGAGAAAGACAAATAGCATATGATTTCAGTCATATGTGCCATTTAAGAAACAAACGAGCAAACAAAGGAAATAAGAGACAAAAAAACAAGACTCTTAACTGGTGGTCAGCAGAGGAGAGGTGGATGGGGGGTGGTTGAAATAGGTGATGGGGACTAAGAGTAAACTTACCATGATGAGCATTGAGTAATGAACACAATTGTTGAATCACTCTATTGTATATCTGAAATATTGTATCATATAATAATTATGAACTAATATAACAATATAACCTGAAACTATATAACTAATATAACTAATGTAAGTATATATTAACTACACTTCAATTAAAAAAGAAAAGAACCACATTAATGCAAAAATACATATTCTCTACTGAAATAGCTATCATCACTTTCCAGCATTATGAAAGGCTCTTATAAAATACCAGGGCAAAAAAGTCCCAGTATTTTTCTCCTCCTTTTCCCTCTGGCATCACATTCACTGGCCTGGAAGGGGCAACCTTCCTTCCCGTCCTCTCAGACAGCCTGCTGCCCCTTCTCCCTTGCTTTTTCCTAACACAGGCTCCCCACCAGTATACCAGTCACTCCAGGCAAAAAGGATACCGTTCCTCATCTCATTGTGTTTTATAAGATCGGACTGATGGAAAGAAAAGATATGTAGCAGAGATTAGGATATGACCCCACACACCAGCCCTTCAGAGGAAAGGCACTGCCAATAGACCAGTTACAGTACCAAAACCCTGCCTTCAGCATGCCCACGCATGGCTGTCCTCACTTGCCAGCCCCCGCAGGGCGTGGGGCATGGCGGTGCAGATCCTGGATTGGCAGGGCCCAACACTACCTCTTCCAGTGGCACCTGAGGGACAGACACCCTCCTTCAGAGAGGGCAACTCCCTCTGGGTGGGGGGAGGGGGAATTCTTCACGGGGACAGAGAGTGGTGGTGAGACTCCTGGAAATGAACCAAAACGGTCAGAGCGGCTCCTTCACTTTTATAGCTCCAGGAAGAAGGAAACACTATCATTAGGGTAGAGAGGATAGAAACAGGAGCTTGGGATAAAAGAATTCCTTAATTCTAGATTAATTCTAGATTGGGATAAAAGAATTCATTGATTCCTCAGTTCTAGCTGAGTCTAGAGTGAGTTTTTACTAACGAATCAAAAGGCTGTATTGTTGCAACTCATAAATTATTGAATGCTACATCTGAAACTAATGAGGTATTCTATGTTGGCTAATTGAATTTAAATAAAGAAGACTGTATTGTCCTGGTCAACACAGAAGAATGATCTCACGGTAGAGAGGAACAATTTTCTACCAAAATTCCCTCCCACCTCTTTACATAGTATGGAGCTGCTGCTGGGAAGTCCAGGAAGGGACTACCTTTTCCAGCTTCCTACCCGGCCCAAAAGGGCCATGTGACAGGCCCTCCACAGTGGTTTGACGTGTGAGCAATGAGGGTCACATTTAGGCCCATCCACATTGCCTTTTCCGTTCTACTGAAATGAAGTAAGAGTCCACAAGCCTAGGGAACGGTAGAGTCCCTTCTAGAAGGAAGCAACCAGGGTCTCTGGATCCCCTGTGATGGGGATCCATTCCACTGTCCGGAATGACCACTCTAGAATAAGCATGTCCTTTGGCTGAGCTTTTGGGTTTTTAACTCGTGCCATGTTAAGCCACTGACAGTCTGGGCTTTGTGACAGCACCTAGGGTCAGCCTAACCCACCCCCTTACCTCCCTAAGTAAAGAAAGCGGTCAGTTGAGCATGGGGAAGCCCTCCTCTCCTACCTGGGGCTTGGGTAGAAATAAATGAATGGGAGAAAGTGCTCACCACCGCCCCATTGTGGCTTTTCCTTATTTGGCTGCCAGCACAAGAGGCCTTCCTTGGCCTGTTTCATCAGGGCAGGTGAGAAGGAATGGAACAGGCTGGCCCCGTGTCCCCGAAGGGAGCCCAAAAGCACAGCCAAAGGGCATCGGCCCCACAGCTGGTATGTCCACCACCATTTCCCTCTGCACAGTGGAGTCAGCTCCTTGACACACTAGTTGTGATTTACTTTAAAATACTCCAACAAGGGGCTTGGATCAAATAAGACAGGCCAAGGTTGATATTTGCAGAAGACAGATGGGGGGTCTACAAGGATTCATTATACTAGCTTCTCTCTCAACGTGTGTGCATGTTTGATACTTTCTACATTAAAAAAAAAAAACAAACTTTTTTTTTTAAAGGAAATTTCTCAACAAGTCATAGGAGAAGAGGCTCACTGAATTAATGCCACTCTCTTCCCGATGCCTCCTCAGGATGCTGTGGTTACTCTCGGGAAGGGAAGGTGTTTACAACAGGCAGATTTGTGGGATTTTTTGCTTCCATTAATATTTAGTACATGTCATTATCTCCAAACCTAATCACTTAAAGAAGAGATTTTAAATAATTGATGCCTACAAAAGAGAAAAAAAGCCATGCCGTGTTTTTTCATTACCCATCAAAACCCAGAAAACCTCTTCGTCTGGCCCTGACACAGACACATAAATATATTAATGCACACCCTGAGAAAAACATGCATACAAATCAATAGACATGAATCTGCTCAGGCTACTTGCCCGATGGAAAAACCATCCCATTCTTTCCATCTCCCGTGTGGCCTGCTCCTCCCTGGCATGGGGCTGTGGCCATGGGAGAAGGGGTTCCAGCAACACCCCTGTGCCTTTGGAGCAAATAAACACCCTCCTCTGAAACACTGAGTTTCAGTCCCCAAAACACACACGCAGCTAACATTTCTTGAGCTCTGATAAAGGAGGGGCTGCCCGTGGGCTCATCTGCATGCATACACATGTGCACGAATATGTTTACACACCTAGAGAAAACGCTTGCACTGACACTTACTAAAATGTCTTTGTTCCCAGCACCCAAACAGAACAAATGAAGAGGACGCCCCATGAGCATCTCAGATGAGCACCGGACGGCTACTCTCCAAAGGACAGAAGGTAGGATACGCCCTGGTTGTTACCTAAGAGCCTCTCTGCATTGAGAGATTCCAGGTCTATCAAGGTCTCGGTCCCGCTTTCATTAAAGCAGCCAGAACTCTCTTTGCTGGTACGTTTAAAGTGCTAACAACCCCGCAGGCAGGGCCCTGCTCCCCGGACGCTGTGGAGACAGGTGCAGACTTACCACCAGCGAGAGAGGCCTCTTCCAGGAGACGACGCCAATGAGTCCTGACAGCAGCACCTGCAAGGACAAACGGTGCAGGAAGGTAAGACTCTTTGGAAACCTCTAATGGACCATCAACACAGTCCTGGCCATCTCAGCTTGAAAACGGACTACTTCTAGAATCCAGCCCATGTACAGGAGCAGGGGGACATGAAGCTTGCTGTCCACCTGGACGCTCACCCTGCAGCCACTGTGGGTGGCACATGGGCCTCTGAGACCACCAGGAACTCCTGAGAGATCACTTAGGCTCTGTATGGATGGGCCCAGGAACGGATGCACTTGCTGGAAGAGCACTTACTCCACTCTGTTCCTGTGAGTTTTTTGGCTTCGTGACTTAAAAATCACAGGGAGGACTACAAACCCTACTTTGGGGAAAGGCGGAGCTCCCCCCTTGCCAGTCACCCGGCTACTTTCCTTCTGAGCATGGGTGCCGGGCACAGCAGACCTGGCAGGCTCCCTTTCTCCTTTCCCACACTTGGTCCCCCAGACAGCTTCCCAAGTCACCAGGAGGCGGTGCCACTGGATGAGGTCCCCAGCTTCCCACATACTGGCCTACATGGCTCCAGGTCCCACCAAGCGAGTCCCCTCCAGGACCTCTTCTAGCAGCCACCTCCCCCCACCCTGGCTCCTCCATGTCTCCCTAACCCCATGAGGATCATTATGTCTTCTCTCTCAGGAGAACCACCCCTCAGCTCCTGGCCCACAATCCCTGAGGCACATGGTAGCCATGGATCCCTCCATTCCCAGGCTCCTTGGGATAGGCAGGGCCCAACAGATCACAGAGACACAACTGTTCCCTCCCCACTGAAATCTGGCTTCAGCCCTCACCACTTGCCCACACACTTCCCAAGGTCACCAGAGGGGTCGCTGAGTGCAACACACTAGTGCAGTGATCAGCTTGAAGACCTGAGGTTAACCCCATCCTTCTGTGGGAGGCTCATTCTCCACTAGGCTTTTTTTTTTTTTTTAATCATTTTTTAAATGTATTTTCAGCATAACAGTATTCATTGTTTTTGTACCACACCCAGTGCTCCACGCAATCCGTGCCCTCTCTAATACCTACCACCTGGTTCCCCCAACTTCCCATCCCCTCCACCTCTTCAAACCCCACTAAGCTTTGCTTCACTCCCCAGATGTCCTCCCTTCTCTGCTCCATCAGGTCCTCCCACCTCTCTTCCCTTCCCACTCCCTAAGACCTGTCCTCCAAGACTGCTGAATCTTATTCACACACAACACACAAAACAAACAAACAAAATGAACCAAAGAGCTCAACATGGCTCTGCTCCCCAGCATATCACATATATACTCTTTCTTCAATGCATGCATTTTGCAAACATACTCAATATCAACAAATAGTATTTACGAACACTTTCCCATCTCCCAAATCTCTCTTCATGATGCCACCCAGCTGCAACCTGTATGGAAATCCTTGATTACTGTTTTCCTATGTCTCTCTGAGCCCCAGTCCCTTGTTCTTCATCCACAAAGTCTATAACCTCTCTCTTCCTTTTTATACCCAAACCACTCTCCCTCTTGTCATCTCTCCTCCCACAATGGTACCCCTCGTCCTGATCTCTCAAATCTAAATCCTAGAGATGGCCCCAGCGCAGCTGGCACTGACCCTGCCTTCTCCTTAGGATATGATTTCCGAAGAGAGTCCTCTGTTTTCCCTTGAGGCAGCACCAGCCTGAACCAAATAAAGCCTGGGTAGAGGATGGGAAGGTACACTTCCCAGAAAACATATGTTTATACTCTGTCTTCTACTTCCCACTTCTACCATAAAAAATTTTACCTATTCTTTAAGACATAGCCCAATTCCTCCTTACTCAGGAAGGGCCTATGTATTCATGAGTACATGGGGCCCCACTAAATCCCTAAACTACCACCAGACCTCTCAAGCCATGTTTAATAAACTCAGACAGAACGCCTTGATCTTTTCTTCTAAGCGGAAGTTTATAAAACTATCAAATGTCTACAGTGGCCAAGTTGCTTATAACAGACATATTATTGGGAAACCCACAAACCTCCAGAGAACAGGCATTTATAAACACAAAGGAAGTTAGTTAATAATCATTTAACTTAGGCTACAGTAAAAATTCTTGACCTTCCTTGCCTCCATCCCACAGTTATCATTCCATGAATCCCCTCAAATAATTTTACCTCCAACAAATATGGACAGTTTGCTTTACTGAAGAAAATGTTACATTTCTAAGTATCATAGAGAACTCTAATTACAGATGGATCCAATTCTCCTACACAAAGGGAAAATATAAAACCATCAAACTCTGTGGCATGTAAATCTTCAGATAATCCCTGATGATCCATGGGCTTGTATAAAGCCTTCCCCTTTATATCAATATGATGGGCAATCACTCCTGTGATCCTACTCAGTGACACTTACAAAGATGTTGCCCCAGCAACACTTTGCAGCCTTTTAAGACCCTGGCCAGTTGACTCAGCTAGACCATGTCCAGACTCCTGACCTAGAGAAACTCTGAATGTTGCTGTGTCAAGCTATAAAATTTGTGGTATCTTGTGACATAGCAGTAGAAAACTATTTATTATGGACTAAATGTCCTTATGATGGACTAAATCCATATGATGAAGTCCTAACCCCCCAGTGTGATGGTATTTGGACATAAGTCCTTTAGGAGGTAATTAGGGTTAGATTATGTTATAAGGGGTACGGCCCTCATGATGGGATGGTGGCCTGACAGGATGAGAAAGATTTCTCTACTATCTCTCTCTCTCTCTCTCTCCCAACATGTGCACGCCATGGAAAGGCCACATGAGGACACTGAGAGGTTTCAACAGCCTGTAAGATAGGAAAGGGGCCCTCACCAGAACCCAACCCTGATCTCAGACTTCTGGCCTCCAGAACTGTGAGAAAATAAATTCCTATTAGTCAAGCCACCGAGTCTGTGATACTTTGTTACGGCCTCTCGAGCTTATTAATACACTAATGTTAATAAATGAAGAGCCCTTCAACGGACAAATGGATAAGGAAGATATGGTCCATATACACTATGGAGTATTATGCCACCATCAGAAAGGATGAATACCCAACTTTTGTAGCAACACGGACGGGACTGGAAGAGATTATGCTGAGTGAAATAAGTCAAGCAGAGAGTCTGTTATCATATGGTTTCACTTATTTGTGGAACATAACAAATAGCATGGAGGACATGGGGAGTTAGGAGAAGGGAGTTGGGGGAAATTGGAAGGGGAGGTGAACAATGAGAGACTATGGACTCTGAAAAACAATCTGAGGGTTTGAAGAGGTAGGGGGATGGGAGGTTGGGGGAACCAGGTGGTGGGTATTAGAGCACTGGGTGTGGTACAAAAACAATGAATACTGTTATGTTGAAAATAAATTAAAAAAATGATTAAAAAAGAAAAAAAATAATGAAGAGTGGAATATTATATTCTTGTTTTCAAACGTGCACTCTCTCTCCATGTCTCTTCAGAAGAAGCAGACTTCCCTGACCCCGGATCTAGAAAACCAGAACACCAGAGAACCAGAGGAGGCCTCCTCTGGTCCACTTGGCACCAGAGAAGAGAGGAGCATAGCTCCCCTCAGAAATGACCAGGTCTTAGTTTGAATTTTTTTTTTTTCTCAATTCCTACTACCGGTGACAATTATTGTTGCATGTTCTGCCACTCTGGTACTTCTGCAGGTTTATTTTGTACCACTTTGGTGAGGGACGGGGTCATTGAGCTAGTTAGCCGTGAAATTACTGCATCTCATGAAACCTTTGTCCCATTTAATTTACTGATATCGTTATTCAAAGTCCACAGTTTACACAGAATACGAAGAAATTGAAGAGGGTCAGAGAAGAGTAACATATAATTAAATAGCTGTGAAAGAAAAGCCAAAAAAGAATGTCAAAGGCGTGATATTTCTCAGAGAGAGAAGCTTAACTTTTTGAGCACCTGCAAGTTGTTAAAAGGACACCAACCCACTTTTTTTTCTCCACTTGCTGCCCAGCATAAATAAAGGCAAGTGATAATATTAAAAATGAGACAGAATTTCCTGCTGTTGAGGGCAATGAAAGGGGATAATAGACTGCCAGGAAGTAATGGCATCTTTAGAGCCAAAGGCCTTCCTGTTGGATTGGTACTGCTGTCTGAACACAGAGGCCTGGAAGAAATTAGCTCTTTAAATCCTGTCCTCTAAGACCGAAAAGTCCTTTCATTGTCCCAAATCAAGAATTTTCTTCTGAGCTGCTATTCTGGTTCAACGGCAAATGATAATGCAACATTTTAGGTAAGGAAGCGAGTCCTTCTAGAATGCAGACTTGAAAGCCAATTCAATTATTTCACAAAACATATGGCAGGATTGTCTAATAGCTAACGTGGCATCAATTAACCCCTAAGAAGCCAGGCTTCACCACTTTCTGGAGAAAGAACTATTGTTGCAAAAATGGGACAAATAATATTCTGAGCTTCCTGAAATGAATGAAGTCTACCGAGCCCACTTCCCCATGTTTTCCAGACTTCAGACCTGTGCTATGCAAAATGCTTCCTTCTCCTTCATGGAGTAGGGGAACCTCCTACTTATTCCAACTTTCATTTTCTTTTCTTTCTGGGTCGTTTTCTGTGTCTGGGTCTCCCTGAGGCCACATGGCAGGGCTGACTCCATTATGCCTTCTGTGTCCATCTGTGTCCATCTCAGCTCCCTTCTGAGATAAATACATGCCTTCCCATCTACCCCATCTCCATGGCTTCTACCTCCTTCTCTCAGAACAACCCCAAACCCACCATCTCTCTCCCAACCATTCACTCCCACCTGCAGTCCTGACTTTCTCCATACCACTTTCCGTTGGAGGCTTCATCAATACATCAAACTAAAAACGTCCACAAGGAACACCACTCTCCTTCCCAGTCTACTTCCTCCATGATAGAAAAGAAATCTGTATCTTTCATTCTCTCAATGTATAAAAGCAAAACTAGACATTGATGGGAAAGATAGCCCGATCAAAGAAAAAAGGAAACTGTTGTAAGATAATGCAAATAAC